CAGTGAATAGAAAGGGACACAAACAACGGTTAAGCAAATTCCGTAGTTAGTCCGCAAAATACAAATTGAAACTAATGTTATTATTATTAAAAAAACATAATATAATGTTATATTAAATAGTATTTAAAGAAAATTAGATGAGTACATGTAGCGTTTTTGTTTAAACATTCACATAATTCATATAATTAATAAAATACAATTACATATTTTTTTCAAAAACATATATTGTACATAAAAACTATTTTTAGTACGTACATAGTACGTAGAATCACACTTTGTTTTACAAAATATATGGGGGTTTATGAGAAAACAACAGTGTTTGGACTTATCTAGATGAATATCTAGATAATTATTTGTTCATCTTTAATCTTATCTAGATACATAATTACAAGGTATCTAAATGTTCATCTTAGATAATTTTTTTACTAATCTAAATTAATTCATCTAGATACATTTTTTATTGATAAAAATTGTGAAATTGTACAAATGCATTTTTAAATATTTATACAGATTCTCAAACAAAGTTTATGGCTTATAAATAATGTAATTATTTTTATTTATACCATTATTATTATTATGTTCTTAGCGCCCAACTAAAATATACCTAAATTTAAAACCATTTAAAAAATAATTGTATCTTTCTTTTTATCTAGATAAAAAAGTATTTATCTTTATCTTTATCTAGATAAATATGAGTTAAGTTATCTTTAATATCTATCTAGATATATTTGAGTTGCATTATCTTTATCTTTATCTAGATAAAAAAAATACCTATCCAATAAGAACATTGGAAAACAATAATATCAGCCTTTGTAAGACATACAACTAATACTGTGGGCTAATGAGCTAGGCGAAAGAATACATATTATAGAATAGGGACATAATATATAAAATTAGGTGCGTAACATGAAATTGTAATAACTTGAAACTTAATTAATAATTAGTGCAAAAGCGAGTATGGTATATTATTATAAATTTATACAAATACATATTATTAATGGCTTAAAAATAAGTGCAGTTACCGCTAAAATGCTGCAGGTATTAACTACCGTTTATTTTGTACAGTTGTTTAGTGTACTTTAGAAATAAATTTATAAACTAAATTGTTCCACAAAATAAACAGGAGTTAATACAGTATGAGAAAATACCAGTTTTTTTTAAAGTAATTGAAACCGTATAATAAATACTTGTGTTATTAGTGAGCTAGGTAAAGAATACATGTATAATAGGGACATAAATACATAATACATACGTATGTATGGTGCATTTCTGGATAAACTTAAACAAATACATATTAATGGTTTAAAAATAAGTAGATTTGACAATACTGTAGATATTAACTACTATATATTTAATACAACTGCATATTGCCATTAAAAATAAATATACACACCATGCTGTTGTATCAAATACACGGGAGTTAAAACCATCAAATAAGAGGGATATATTATTTAAAAATTGGTGTGTTATGAAAGTGTTTTATAATTTTAAACTTTAAAGTGTTAAAATAAAAATATATGTTGGACCTGTGGTGGACATGTAGTTGGTATTAGTATTGGTATTGAAATTTTTCCAATGAAATAAGAAAAATGATATACCTAAAATGAAAAAAAAAAATGTTTTTATAAAACTAATACAAATAATTTCAGACAGTAAAAACAATATTCATACTAGTACTTTTTATCCTTCATTTGTCTGCATCATTCATAAATTTGTCAGTTTCCAATTCCCATGCCGTGGCAATGGCATTAATTAAGCAGTTGATCTTATCGTTGAAAAAATTTGCATTAGTTTTGATATAAAGAGAGCAGGTCTTCTATCTATAAATACAATTTACATTTATTTACCATTCTAACCTATATCAATAAGTAGCATTTTTGTTAGTAAATTGCCATCAATTGAAGATATGATACGATAAATTTTGTTTTAAACCATATTCTTGTGTTACATAATAATTATCTTCTTCAAACTTAAGGATTTGAATAATGAATATATTAAGGTAGTGGAACCTTATAGACCTTATACTATTATAAATACCATAATTAGTTTAAGGTCTATGCGTTGAATGTTTATATCAGTGCTAATTAAGGGGATTGCAAAAGTACAGTTTTTAACTAGTTCAAAATAGATAAGTGGATCTTTTAAATGTGGGCATATTACTGTGTAATGTAAGTGATCATTACATAAATACATTTTTATCACTCCGATATACATATAATTATTAATTTGAATAGTATGCATGCTGAGACATTATTGTATATAATACTATATGGATTTACATTACCCCTCAAGGGTGATTTATTATAAAATAAATAAACAAAACTAGTGTGTAACTGTAACTGTAATGTAGACAAAATAGTGTAGGTATTTCCCGTATGCAAGTTCATGTCTCCAACGCGGTGTCACGAGCGTGAACAGTAAATAATGTAGGAATGCATTTGTAATTTGTATGCATATTTTGTCAATAGCCCTGATGAACCAAATATTTAACCTAATAATGCAATAAGGCTCCTGAAAACTGATTTGAATTCAATAATGTCTACTTGAGAATTGAGATTGATCAGACCACATTTTAAGATTTTTAATTTCAATTTCGAATAATCAATATTTAAAATATCATACATTTTAAGTATTCAATTTGAAAGAGTGACCTTATTGATATCAAGTAGACATAATAACAAATTCGTATCAGTTTTCAAAATATATTAGTATAATCGCAATTACTAGGTCTATCGGTATGATTGACAAAAATTTGGTACATTTCGGTTGAAATAACTGAACGTTCGAAATCCCCTTAAACATATATTTACAAAAAGCCAAATTATATTAGGTAGGTAGGTACCTTATTGTTTGTATTTTAATCTTTGGCATCGCTAGTCTTTCATCTTTATTTGAAATTTGTCGCACCTTGGGATACAGAGCTAGCCAATAGCCATACTGCATGGAGGCCGGTTTTTTGTCTGGAAAAAATATAATTATAAAAATATGTTAGCTTATTACAAAATATCAATATAATTAATAGATATTAGATAACTGTACAAGTGCAGGTATCATTCAAAAGCGTCAAATGTCAATCTTAATCATCAAAATAATAATATGTTTATGGCCATACCACGATTTAAGATGGTATCTTAAATCGTGGGCCATACAAACGTAGGTACAGTTACAAAAATACAGTTAAGTTATCGATCAACGATCACAATAGGTATTTTGAGTTGCGTGGTGTGATAACAATAGCGATGAACGAAAACGACCAGAGGTGTCATTTGAACGTGCCTACTGCAACAAGATCGCAAAAGATAATTTGAAGTTCACGATCAATTAAAAATTTGATTATTACACATGAGTACATGACGAAACAATTTGATTGATCGTAGTATTTTAGAACCGTGGTGATTACGAGAGCCGAGGGACAAGTAGCTGGTGATAATGCGCAACTACACAAAATGTACCCTCTCGTCACCAGTCACCACCCTCGGATAAGGGAAGTGAATGGAGTGAGAGGAGTGTCGGGAGGGCCAAGCTGGGTGTGCCGAGTGGGGTCGTGCTGGTGACCGGTCGATATGAAGATTGGGGCTATGTCGACCACGACAAATAAGATAGGTATCATCACAGTATTTTGAATTTTGATACGCATCATCCGTTCTTTACTTCGCCTATTGTTTTCCCCTTCGTATTGGCTATCAATCATATTCATACGTAATATATAACATTGAACAAAATCAACCAATAATAAATGGAAAACTACGAAAAGGGACGGAAGTGAAGGAGATGCGCAAAAAATTTAGTACAACTGTGATGATACCTATGTAATTTGTCATGATGTCTACATTTGTTATCATTGACTACAGTATATTTTATAATACGAGAGATTTTCAATAACTCTATGCGTTATCGGCAACGTAACTCTAAAGTAGCTCTTAAGTCTTAATTCTTTTAAACCTTTTGGATTTAGCCATTTACGGTTTGCACGTTTTTGTAGCGAACTTTTTCCGCTTAACTTTTATATTAATTGTTGTTCAACTGTTCAAGTAATATTTCTACACTTTCGTCGACGGATCTTTTCTTTGACTGTTAGGTAAGTCACTTATACGTTTTCCCCAAAAACAGTTAGCGTTTAAAATTAGAGTATTGAATGTCTTATTCATACATTTATCCCTCACGATTATACACGAGAATCCTCGACTTTAAGAGGATGTTACACCCGCATGTTATGTCTTCGTCTTTGAAATAACAACATAGACGGTATCAAATTTGCATTTAGGAGAATTAATTTAGTGTTGGTAGATTCTTATTATAGTGCATAGTATTAAAAACGAGACCTGGTTTATTGTAATCATGGCATTGGTACTTAACATTGTTGAAAAATTTCGGCTCTGCGCATAACAGACAGGTATTGTTTTTCGTGTCTCAACTTTAATATAAAATTTAAAGGTATGAATATTATCAAGGGCATCTTGAAGGCTTATATTATTAATATTCTAATTTTCAAGTGAATTATAACTTTGTAAACCAATACAATTCCTCATTTTAAAATTAAAACATAAATCTCTAGGATTCCTTTTATATATGAGATGAGTAGGTACTATAATATAATATAGGTACATAAATAATTGTTCGTTAGTTAGTAATCTGTACTACTAAGTTTATCAAAATGAAAATATACACTTAATAGTATAATGTGAGAAGCAAATGCTTTATAAAGTACCTAATATAGCAATTTTTTTTTTTATAACTTTATCTACCTATTTTAGATTCTGAGAGTATTTATTATCTCCCATGTACATTACACAATTGTTAAAATTTGTGGCTTTTTGACCCCTTAATATTCCAACTTGGAGCAGTCTAACAAATTTATAATTTACTTAGATAGCCAGTCTTTTATTTTATTAAATGTACCTGTTTCTTTATATAGATGAAACAATTGCAAAAAAGAAATTTCAGTAACGAGCTCAAAAAAACTACAAGCAATAATAAATTCTATCAATCATATGAAATAAATGCAAACAGGTAAAAATAAAATGAATGATTTTCTAATTCCAAGTGGTTCTACTGAAGCAGATGAACAATATGATAAATTAATTTCAGGTTAGTAGGTAATACATTAGTATTTATGAAGGTATTTATGTATTAATTATTTTATTTTTATTTTTACAGAAAGCTCTTCAAAAAAGTATAATGGAGTAAGTAAATCTGACTATGATGATGCACCATCAATAAAGAAAACAGTTGAACTTTCTGAAAGTATTACTAAAAATGTTGAACGATGTAAAAGACCTAGAGTAAGTTCTATATACTTAACACTTTCAATGCCACTAAAGCGTTGATGCACTTATGTGTCAATAAATTTAATTTCAAAAGGCCTGCATTGTGTTTCTATTATTTAAAAGTATTTTTATTGATAAAACTCTAGAACTATCAAGAACCACTTATGGTTTTTGAGGGATTGACATAGGTATTGCTTTTAAATTTATTATCATTTACCCAATTGTTTTTTAACAATATTCAGACAAAAAATATGTTATACCCCTTAAAATATTGTTTACTATAATTTTTGTAATTGGTAATTTTACTCAAAAAACAAAAAAAAAATTATTTATGCTTGAATATTATTCAATATTTTGATTGCAATACTTTTCTATATTGCGCACGAGTTTTTAGAAAACATATAGTGCAATGACATTCATTTATCCATTATTCAATTTATATACAACCAAAAATAATTTTGTATAACAGTGCTAATGCTCTATCTAATGCTCCAAACAAAAATATGCCAGTATTGTAGCTAAAATTAGAAACATTGTGAAAATAACCGCCTTATAAACAGTTATTTTTTTATTCTACAATAGTAAGTTATTATATTTCTTTTTAGGGATTAACCAATTTAGGAAATACATGCTTTTACAATTCAGTTTTGCAATGTCTAGCACAAACTCCATTTATAAGAAAGTTGTTATTTGACATAAGTGAATATGGTAAACCAATGACCATAAAATTAGATAATGAAGATATTGTAAGTATTATTTTATAAACAAGTTGTCCATGGTCTATATCAGCTTTTCTCAACCTGTGGTACGCGTACCATTAGTGATAATCGGAAAGCTCATAGGTGGTACCCGAAGAAAATCTCCTTTTAAAAAAAAAAAAATGGATTATTATTTACGTTATATATTATTTGGTTTATTAGATATTAATAATAATTTTACATATTTCATTTTCTTTTTGTGCCTTAAATGCTTATATTTTTATAATTTTGTAGTTACTATGAAATAAAATTCCATTCATGTAAAATAACATATACATTTTTGAACCAAAATTATTTGGTGAAGTGGTACATGAACATTTTCAAACTGTGTAGGACGTAGGTGGTACGCGGATATAAAAAGGTTGAGAATTCCTGGTCTATATTATATCAATTTATCCTGTTCTAACTTAAAAAATCATAATTTATTGAAATATTTATTCATTTGTAATTTATTATTGTGTTATTGAAGCCAGTTAGTGGCCAGATTTGTTGAAAAAAGTTATTTTAAAATTAAATAATCCTCAATCAAATAGAAATTTATAAAATTGTAATTAATTTTATAAATAAATCTGGATTTACAAATTGGTTTAGTATTACCAAATTATAATAAAAATGTGTGTGTGTGCATACTGCATAATGCATATACATTACTTTGTTAAATTTTAGTTGTCACAAAAATAAAAATTGTTAACTACACGTTTTTAAATTATAGTTTACTATAAAAAATTTCCTGTGAGTATCATTTGTAAATCTAAATACTACATTTGCAATTTTTACAAATACATTTTCTTCAGTAGATTATTTTATCTTTTTACAAAAATGTCGTGACCATTACTATTACTTCAATATATGTCCAAATGGGCCGTGGACAAAAAACAAAACAGATGACGAATGTGGCAGAGATGAGAATGCTAAGGATGTGTGTACTGTGTTAGTTATTGGGTATGAAATAGAAAATGATTTCATTGGAGGTAGGTAGTGTAGAAGTGGCCAATTGTAGAAAAAATAAAGGAGAATAGTTTGAGGTGGTTTGGTCATTTTATGAGAAGAATTGACTCTGAGGCAGTGAAAGTTACTATGGAAATTAATATAGAAGGGGAAAAAAGAGATGGATACACAGAAGAAATAATGACATGAAAAAAGGTGGTGTAAGTAAAAAAGAGGTAAGACGAAGCCATATGATGGTGTAGGACAAAGGGGCTGACTCCATATTGGTCAAAGCGAATAGGTAGAAAAAAAAAGTATAATAGAAAGTTGAATTTCAAAATATTCTAATGTCTTCAAGTTTGAGGGGCTTGAACAGTTTGAGATCCCACATTTAGTTTTTTGTTTGACTAATGTGATTTAATCAAAAATGTTGACTGATTATGGAAAAACACTAATTACATTTAGATGCAATAGTTTACATTTTGTTTTCTAATAGACTGTTCATCAAGAAAAATGGAGTTCATTAACTGAAAACCTGTACACCACTCTACAAGAAATAACAAATGAACGAGATTCAACATTTACACCTAGCGCACTTCTCGAATCATTAAGGAAGAAATGCAAAATGTTTATTGGCTACAGTCAACATGATTCTCATGAACTTTTACGGCATCTTTTAGACTCTGTTCGCGATGATGACTTGCAGGTCTTAAACAATAACATTATAAATACATAAAGTTAGAGGAAATTTTCACAGAGGCTAAAAAAATATGTAATATCTTACTTCAATCTAAATCTAAAATACTAAGTTTTAATTATTACCTAATATTTGGCATAAAAATAGATTTTTCTCATATAACAAAATATTGCTTGAATTTTGTTACCAGTTTATTTCATATATTTTTTTTATCAAGTTTACGTTTCAATTTTTAATGTTAGTTTTTGATTATTTTCATGCTCATATACCTTTTATTTCACATTGCCTAAGCTTACTTAGTTATTTACAATTTATTACATGTAACTGTTCCCCAGCTTTTGGTATCACAATATATTTTTTATCTTTGTTTATTTTGTAAAACAAAATTGGTAATGACATTTCTGATCTTTACATTATCAAATATTTACTTATAAAGATTTAAACCATATATCACAATGATTTTTTTACAATTAACTTTAAACAAAACATGAAAAAAATTCCAGAGAAATGGTTATTTATTTAAAAAATCTGTTATCTCTGTAGTTATCTTCTAAAAGCAGCTAACAAATTCATATCTGTTTTCAAAATAAAATTTGATCATCTACAAACTCATAGTTTTATCCTACTTATAAGTCAAATCATTTTAACATTTATTTAAATTAATAATAACTTTCTTTTAGCGTTATCAAAGGACACTTATACATCATTATGGTTTATCAATGAGAGTTGAAACTAGTGAATTGGATGAAAAAAAAACTGCAATAATTAAAGAACTTGGCAAAAAATTGCAAGATAATGTTGTCTTACGTCCTGATCATGTATTCAAAGGAGAACTTATGAGTATCATTCAATGTCAAACTTGTGGCTATAAATCAGAGGTAACAGAAAGTTTCCTGGACTTAAGTTTACCAATCACAGTTGATGAGGCAAGCATTTCTTATCTATCCTTAATAACAATTTTACTCTGAATAATAATATTAATTTTTATTAATAGACCTATCCATTATTGTTCCCACATAAAAAAGATTATGATGTTTTTAGTCAATCTAAGCATCAAACAAAAGAAGAATGTAAATTAGCATTAGAACAAGGAAAGAAAAAGAAACATGAGCACAAACAATTTAACAATAAAATGCAAGATACATTAGGTAATATTATTTTAGTCTTGAAAATTTCAATTGAAATTGGACAGTGAATAATACATTATTTTGTATTGTAAAACTATAATCTTCTTTCTTCTAATTATTTTTTTTATTTTTTATTTAAGCTGTAAATAATGATGCGGATACAGAAGACAATATCGAAATTGAAATAAGTGAAGTAGAAATTGCTGCTTGGAAGAATGGAAACAAAGAAAATTCAGAATCTGGATATGGTTCAGAAAAGCAACCATCTAATAATACAAGTCCTTCTCTAAGTATAACAGAATTTACAACATTTATGAACAACATTCCACTATCTGATCCTGACAGACAAAAGGATGCTGATCAAATTTTTCATTCTGAAATACCCATGGATTTGTATTCTGTACCATCTTCTAGTCCTTCTAATAGCCCTAGTTCACCTCAATTGTTTTTCCTTGAATCCATAAGTGGCAATGTCAGTCCAGACTACATGGATGCGGGGACAGATAGTGCAAATGAAAATCCGGTATTGATTATATAAATCATTCTTAAATGCTTATTCATAATAAAGATATTAAATTCAATATTAATAATACTTCAAGTGAACTTGTGAACTATATTTCTCAACATTAAAATTAATTTTGATGTAAATGTATATTTTATATATTAGGAGTGGAACAGTCCTACACAAAATGTTTGTAATAATCGCAGTTATGGACTATTTGAAGATACAAAAAGTGATGAAGATGTAGAGGATGATGAAGAAGATGAATTTTCTCAACTATGTCCACAAGCAACATTGCAATCTCAACCAAAATGTAAGGATAGCGAGTGCTCAGTGTTGACATGTCTTAATCAATTTACTGCCTCTGAAATAATGAGTGACGATAATACGATTGCATGTAAAAGGTGCACTGAACAACACAAAAAAAGTAAGGTTTTAATATAAATCCTATGATAATTTTTATTAAATTGTGAATATTTTTATTTTATTTTTCATAAAAGCAAACGTAGAGAAAAAAATTAATTTCCAAAGTACCATACAAATGTTAATTAGTTCTCCTCCAGCTATTTTAATATTGCATCTAAAACGGTTTCAAATGTGTAATTCAACTACACGTAAAATGACAACAAATGTATCATTTCAATGGATTTTGGATATTGCTCCTTACTGCTCTGTTAAATGTCAAGTTAGTAATAAATAATGATGCATATATATTTTTAAATACAGCACAAACATTAATATTTAATTTTATTATTTATTCAATTAGGACAAGTTAAGCCCTGGTCAAAACCGAATATTGTACTCTCTTTATGGTGTAGTGGAACATAATGGATTTTTGCATAGTGGTCATTATCTTTCATACGTAAAAGTATAGTTCATTTATAATTAACAGTTTAAATTAATTTATTAATTCGTTAATGACAAACATTTATTGTATAAATATGTATTATATTGTTTAGGTCAGAGATTCAGTTAAAGATGATAGCTACCGATATTCATTTTTAGAAGGCAGTAAAACCAAACCACCTAAAGTTATTGACGGCAATGATGATCCTTCACATTTAGCTCCGAGTGGTACCTGGTATTGTGTAAGTGATAGTATGGTTAAACAAGTAACACCAAAAGTTGTTCAAAGCTGTCAAGCCTACTTATTGTTTTATGAACGAATTTTATAATACTATTTATGTATAATATTGAATAATATATTATTATTGTATTTTTCAAAACGAAACATTATCATTTAAAGTGAAATGATTATTTTTCAACAATATTTATGTGTACTGATAGATAAATTGTATTTATTATGTAAATTATTGAAACTTATTGCTTTAAATAATTATTTTATAATGAAATTTTAAAACATTTAGGTAATTTAATTTTTCAAATATATTTAACATTGATTGAACACTGGATTTCTTTCATTCATTTTTTATTTTCATTCATTGTCAGTGTGATTTAATATGCATAAGTATCATATATAAAAATTTTAAATTGATAAACAAATTGTTTAATAAAAACTAGAAAGAAAAAAATTTTGATAATCATGTGTAGAAAATCAATATTTGATATTATACCGTCCTATAATTTATATATATATTTTTTTAGATTACACCCCTCCCCCTAAAAATGTTCAACCACAAAAAAAAACCATACAAAAAAAGTTCCATGGAAATTCTTTAATCTTAACCCGTGCCACAAATCTTCTAAAGTTACAAAAATGGAAAATCTTCAATATTATAAATTATGTTCTTAACCTCCTAGAGGTCGCGCCTATGAAAATCTCGTTGGCAGTCGCGCCGCGGAGTTAACACCGCTATTTTATTTCTTTATTTTTAGTGTTGTTGTTGTTGTGATGTTTTTGTGAACTGTTATCTTATATTTTGCATAATACACGTAAGGAATAATTTACAATGACATTTACAAACAATTCAATTTATCAAATAACTTTATTTTAACATAATATTGTGCATATTAAAAAAATTTTAATTCTACTTATGACTATTGCATTATGTTTATAAATACATGGTGTAGGAATAGCAGGGGGTCATACTAATCTTATCGATAAGTATAATTAAATAAAATGGTTTTTCCCAATGGTGCGGTGTAAACACCGCTAGCGCGACCGCTAGGAGGTTAAACATAACTATAAAAAAAATGTTACAAAAAATTTGTTGAGATACAAATGATGGAAAACTAAATTTACTACAATTTGTTTCCTATTATATTAGATTGCAAAAATTTTACTTTTTCAAATATATAAATCGAAAGATTAAAAAAAATAATAATCTTAAAAATTGAGATATTTCTTGCAACTTAACATACAAATAATTAATAAATAATTATAATAACAATTTACAATAAATAATAACATAATGACTTAATATTTTTTACTGTTATAGTTATATCTTTAACATATTTTAAATGTATGACTGTGGAAGTGTTTTTTTATGGTCAGGATATTTTTTACAATAGTCACTAACAATTTGTAGAAACTAGAAGGCGCATGAATCATTGTTTTTTAGCCTCCAGTGGCACAGCTTCATTGAAAAAAGAAAATTCACATTATTCTGCAGGTAAATACCATAAGTGACCACAAAACTTTTTAACTGCTATCTGAGATACATCTTTATCTATTATAGAGGTATAATGTAAAAGGATTTTTTATAAAAGTCAAGTCATTATTAAACTATACTGTTATGTATAATCGTACAATAAAAATGCAAATACTCCTTAAGGCACTTTCGTCTTTGGGTGTTAATCTAAACTGTTCACAAAATAAATATATTTTTAAACTATTAATAGCTTTGGCTATGCACCGAGGGTGATGAATAGCACCTGGTATTTTAAAGCTAATATCACTTGAAAGTTTTCTACCCAAAAAAATGACTTTTAGTTCTAGTAACTCTCGGTAATCATCTCTTGGATGCTTTTGTAAAAGTCGATCTTTAGAAAACTTAATAATATTATCACATAGGTCATTTACAAAATCCATTACAATACTATTTTGTATGCCAGGATTTAGGATTAACATTTTTAGAGTCAATTGTTCCCCAGGCTTGTTGGAACCTTTTAAAAATTGACATGGCCCGATGTTGACTCAAATTTTAAATCAAACACACTTCAATATAATTTCATATATATGTTGAATTGTCGACTCACGTAGGTAAACTATTCCAGGTAACCATTGTAAATCAGTAAAATAAAATGCATTTCTTACAAAGTATAACACATTGTGAAAACTCAACACACAGTATTTAAGTATGACACTGGTTGTTGTTATAATTCAACTGAGAAATAAATCAATAAATCACAAAATAATAATTGACAATCTATAATGATTTAATAAGCCCTATAACACATCACGTACCTAAATCCTAAGTGTACCTAATAATGTACAATGATGAAGATTGTAGAATGTAGATAAATAATACTTAGTTTTGTTTTACTTGTAATAAATGTTACATGACTCTTGGAAATAATCTTTAAGTAATAATCGAAAAATATGGGTACAAGTATTAGTATTACTACTCAGTAGGTACCTATACTGTATTCGTACCTAACGATTCTATACTAATTTCGTATATCATAGATTACAATATCATAGATATAGTATTACTTACAAACTATATTATACAGTATCTAAATAAGTTTAATGTGTTCATTTAAATCGCATTATATGATATAGGGAACATTTTATTTATTGCAGCGCAGTCCTTATTTTAGTGAGCAGTAGGTACAGAAATGCACACTTGTGCAGCGCCGCAACTAGGTTATGGGGGGCCCTGATGCGAAACATTTTATGGGGCCCCTCGCCCCATAGCCTAGTATAATTATACTCCAATATAACGAAAAAATAAAACCATGTGTGTTACCAGTACGCGCGCGGGAAGTTAAACTTCTTTTAAATGGTACACGTGAGTGAGAAAGAAAGAAAAAAATATTAATTAATTTAAAAAATGAGAAGAAGTATCCGGAATTATTTATTATTAATAGTTTTACTATTTTTTTTTATATTTTTATTCGACAGATCGATGGATAATTGTTTATAGTATTGTTTTTATCCAGACAATAGATTTGTGAGTGAATAATAATAATAATAATAATAATAAAAATAAATAATAATCGATCATTAATTATTCATATTAATTAGTATGGCCCGATTATAATATATAATATATATAAAACAACATTACCATGACAATATTTATTTATTTACGGACATGTACGCTTTCGCGTTCGTACGGCCGCCCGTTCGTACGCGCCGCCGTTCGCTTTTTTTTCTTCACTACCCTGCGTAAAGAAGTATAACTTCAAAAAGTAAGTGCTACAATTAACTTTTTTTAGACCTCTAATGCAAGGCAATATTTATGGCCGCCAAATATTAACATTTTTTCAAGCATTAAGCCGGTTTCCCACGACTGGCGTACTTGCCAAATATTCGTCACTTGTGTATACTTGCCATGTAGTGGGAACGGTATACTTGTACAATTATTTGTCACTGGTGCATTTCCCGAGGATTGTCGGTAAACGAGTCACAAGTCAAAGGAACGCCAATATACTTGACAAGTACACCAGCCATGGGAACACTCGTGTTTTCACCATTCGTTCGCCTATAGACCAGGAATACGGTACCTAGCACCTAGCGCATATGCAAATGTGACATATAACAATATTGAAAACCTCCCGATAGCGGACGTTTTCTTGTGAAGCAACTACAAACTTTTTACAATTTAAACCCTCTGAATAGCGAACACCTCCGAATAACGGACGAAATTCCAGTGACTAGGAATGGCCGGCATTAGAGGTTTCATTGTATAGGTATGTTATTATATTATAGGTATTATACACCATTCGCGGAAGTATTGTGAAAGCAGTTCCCGCGACGCCGTCGGTTCAAAACTGAAAAAAAAAAAAAAAAAAAAAAAAAAGTTATTATACACCATAAATTACGGATAGTTAGACTCTAAACGCACTGCGGTATTTTCGCCGTGGAGTCCAAACGGTTCTACCTTTCGCGGATTTTACTGCCCGCACCGCACTACGTTTTTTTTGCCGCTGATTCGATAGAGGTTATCATAGAAAATGAACCGTCACAGTGGGTTCTTCTTCGTCGAAACAATGTGTTTACTTTACGAACGGTGACCGTCAAACTTCAATTTAAAAATCAACTACCTCCATCATCGGCGTCTTCTCAACATTTACAACCCGATTACCACGTAGGAAATTTCCAGGGACATGTTTCTACTCCTTCATATTCTACTTATAATAGCTATCCTGTAGTGGTACCTTCAACATCATCATACCATTATCAAACCCCTAATAACATGAATTAACACTGTTCTTTTTTTTTTTTAACTTAAGCTTAGAAGGTACTTTTATTTTATTTTATTAATAGCGGAGACTATTTAATACTTATGTCAAGTAATACCTAATGTATTTTATTATTTATATATTTTATAATCAAAAAAAAAAAATTATATCTTAAAGGTAAATTTTAATTTTATTAAATTCTTAAATATTTGTACAATACATTATTCCACATAATATATTTGAAGCTTATGTTCTTACCTTAATTTCTTCTTTTAGTACTTGTATTAAAGGTGCTACAAACATCGTATACGCATCTCGACACTGTTTGGATTGAGAATTTAAATAAATATGACAGACTACTGAAACTATCGCCGGATGCCAGAAAACTAAGTGCAACTGCCAGTCTTTATAAAAAATATGTAACAATATTACAATTACGATATAGAGTAAAATAAATAAAAAAAACTGCTAACCTTTCCTGTACAGGGATCGCTTCTCTCATATTGGTATCTGATTTTCGGATCATTGGACCAATTTTGCATAATAAAAATTAAAAATCTGTAGCTGACATTCGGCAAAAATTCTCAAATTTACCAGATGGTTCACTCATCAAATCGTCGATTAGATTTGTCGCGTTGTACCTTTATAACATGTAAACAATAAACATATAGTAATAATCTGCATTACATGTAATACTTATTTTTACTTATATATAAAATCAACGTAATATAATATCTATGTATTTGTTGTATGTACCAATAGGTAACATAATTAGTGTATAATGTATAATGTATATAATATGCATATTATATGCAATATATTGCTAAAGATATAGTTTTTAAATGGAGAATGTATTGAGTACTTA